AAAGGAAAGTGCTGAGTCTGTGTGTCCTAGTTCTCGGGCTGCCAGATCAGAATGATGCTCAGAGTTATCACTGGGATAGGCTGTGAACAAGTCAGCAGTACACTTTTATTTTTGTACTGAGATGGCTGCTTCCTGATGGGAAGATGTTGGGGATGGGGCTATACCTGGGCATCATGCACAGATCACCAGATGATATGAATTCTGAAGGCAGTAGGAGTAGGAGTGAGCACCCATTACCTGCTGAATGAAAGGCAAGCCCTTTCCTGACACAGCCACCACTTATCAAAGCAGACCAATTCTGGATTCAGCCAAGGCTCTTCGCCAGGAGGTGGTCCCTTGATTCTAACAAAGGCATGAATCAGCTTATCTGTGTTAATGCTGGGCCACACAATTACTCTCCCAAAGTAGAACAAAGCTGAATTCAAGGCAGTGAATAGCAAAAAGCTAAGGGGTACCTAACCTAAGTGGGTCCTAACTCAGTGGGATGTAAAGTTTGTGTCTTCATGTGCAGGGAGATTTATTGTTTATCTCTGCAATAATTAAGGCATTACAGGGCTTAGGACTCAGAATGTGAGGACTGAGGAGAGGAGAAGAGAGGAGGTGAGGGGAGGAGAGAAGAAGAAGAAAATTATAGACTTAAAAAAATTAATTAAATCATTTTTGATTGTCAAATCAATCAATATAATTAATGATGTGCTTCTTTTCTTTTTTTAAGCTTTATTTATTTATTCATACAGAACTGGGGTATAAGCCAGAGGTACAGAGGCATTGAGAAGCTTCACCAGAGATAGAGTGGGGAGCAGAACAGGCAGACTGACAAAGTACACTGATGAAGTGAGCAGCAGGTGGGACAGGAGAGGTCTGCCAGCCATGTGGATCACCTCTGAGGTGTGGGATTGAACTCGCGCTGAAACTGCTTTGGCTAGCTTGCAGTGTTGTGCCCTAACCCATTGCGCCACCAGGGAGGGCGTGTACTTATTTTCTATTTGTGTCAAAATACCAAATTGCGGAGTCAGTTAAAAGCTTCTGTTGAATTTTTCCATTTATGCCTGGATGATACTAAAATTGAAAAGTATGCTCAAGTCCTAGTGGATATTCAGGGAACTATCAGTTGGTTTCAGATAACTCAGGGTCCAAAACTTTGCCTACTAGTGTTCCCTAGATACAGAGTTTACCACCAGGTGTGTGGGTGGAATAAACAATAAGAAATGGAATCATTTTTAATTTGCAAGATGTAAGCAAGAAGACAAAAGTTACGAAGTCATAGGATTTCTTTTATCATATGGGTTTGGGTGGAAGGAGAAGAAATGACTGGCATCTTCTACACCAGGAGTATGAGCAATAATGGGCAGATATGAAGGGGAATGGAGTGGAGCCAGGGGCCCCTTGAGCCCTGTCTTCTCCAGGCAGTCTTGACTCACACACAACCTTTCTGAGTTTCAGTTTCCATATTCTAACATCCCTGAAATTAATGCTCTGTTCTTCTAAGTCCTGCTGGCATCTGGCACAGAAAGAAATCCAATGAGTCATGTTCTTCATACTATTTGTTCCATTTCTCTCTCTCCCTCCAAAGAAAGGAGTAAATTCTGACAAAGGACTTTTTCTTACTACCGTCTCCATACTGTAGCTGCTTCTAACCAAATGCTGAATAGCCCACAAGAACTCAATTTCTAAAGTCTTTGGCAAGTGTAGTAGATGTGGACATGCATCACTCAGATGTTGCTTTATAAAGGACTTATTTCTGAGAGTCTAGGAGGTTCCAGCTCTCAGATTCCAGCTGCCAACCCAGATCTATCTCACCTCTGGGGATGTGCTCATGTGTTCTTAGGGTACCATGAGGTGCCCATCTAATGGTAGAAGAGTCCTGCTTGCTCTCATCTAACATGAGTGTCTCTGAACAGACCCACAAACTAGAGGAAATTATCAGGCTGCAGCAAACAGCATGAGTCTGTTTTCTCCCTTTTTCTTTCACAGGCTTTACTTCTTTTTCACAGTACATCCCCAGAGAGACCTAAGAGACAGAGTTAGACAGAGTTGCTAAGTCCAAATACTTGTTTCTTTGTATTTCCAAAAAGGATCTCTT